TGAATTTTTTCGAAGAATGTCTGTGACAGCGAGAGCACCAAAGATATCAGCAGGGAACAGAACGACTGTGTTTCGATATTTGTTTGAATACCCAAAATTGTTCTTTCGTATGACTTCAGGCTTGCATATAGGGCTGGAATACCTAAATACATCAAGGTCCATTTCCAGTGTGGTACCATCTATTGGATATCTTGAAAGATTATTTACAGCATCATATAGGTAGATATATAATTACAATGGATTACAGATGATAAAAGCATTAACACATGCCAGGATCTGGTGCAGCTGATATACTCCTGCTTCTCCTTGGTAGAAGGCATGCTAATAATGAACAACCTTCTGTTTGTTATATTACTTATTCTACTCCAGGGATTCCAGACTGCTGAGACACTGTACAGTGCTCCAAATTTGTTCTTGCATAACAGCTAATAAATAACATTAATTACTAGCCTTTCCACTACATGCAGACAACAGCAGTAGATGTTTATGATTTTTTTTTAAACAGGCCCTGTCAGGATAGCATGATTAAATGTTGCTGTCATACCCCAAAACTGTGCATACCATAATCCTCAAATTTTTCAACAGTTTTGATGGCATCTTATTTCCATAATAACAGATAAACAACCGTGTAGAACAAGGCTATAATTTCATTGATTGTTCCAGGCAACATCATACACAATGACAGCTCATGCTGCTCAAGTGATTTGTCACTAACATCTCAAGATGAAATTCTCTTATATTACATTGTTTTATGTATAATCTGTTTCCATTTCGTATCCTAAAATGAGATAGGTTGTATAGGCACCTTGGGCTGATACTATGTGATATCACATGCAAACCACAACCAGAGGGTGGGCTGAATACACCGGAGTATCAAATTAGGGTGCACCAGATAGGGAAGCCAGGGCTTTACATCCAGCTTCTGCCCCTGAATCCCCCTGATCCTGCAGCCTGGCAACATAAAGGAACCTGCCCTGGGAGTTTAGCCATGGTCCATATTGCAAGGACTACCAGAAGACAGACTCTGCCACAACCGAACACCTAGAGTAACTCAGGGCTGGTTTGAAAGTGTGCAATGGGATTCAAAGGGAGAACATGGGCTTGACTTAATTCTCCTGGCATTCAATATGGCACCAATCACAAAGATAGCAACTATGCTTGGCCATAACAGAGCCACAATGAAGAGACAGTTCACTTCTGCCCCTGCCCACCTTTTGTACTCTCTAACCAGCGACATCTACACTCTAGTACGACCATGACTTGTTGTGTGTCTCAGGCTTCTAGGGGTGTTTCTAGGCACCATCAGTCATGCATGTGCAGTATTAGGTAGTGAAGAGTCATTATTATGCCCTCTATGATATACAAATGAATAGGAGCCTCCCCTGTAAATGATGCAGCTGTAATGTTAGTGGCTTGTTAATGGCTTCAGGATAAATAGATTTATTGGTGCAATTTGGTTTTACATGGTTAGGCTGAAATGCTGGTATGTTTATAAAATATTTACATAGCTTAATGTTTTCTTTTATAATGATAGAATGGGAAATAACAAAGCGGGGTCTTCATCAACTCTGTTTCATATGCCAGCTTTTTGTTTTGTGTTGTATTGTCCTTACATTAAGTTTTCGGCATGATAAATTGGCCCAGATCATTGGTTAATAATTATCCCTTCATTGTAAAATCAGATTTCCCAAGTTAGCACAACTGGCTTTGAATTTAAGATTATGCACAAACCTGTGTGCATTTGTCTGCTCCATATTTAAGTCATTCCTCTATTCATCCAAAACCTCATCAGGACAGATAATAAACCACTTCATGAACAGATGTGCCACTTATTCATCTAGTTCTGTAATGATAATGAAGAAAATTTAATCTGGAGTGCCTATGGAAGATGATCTAAAAGACAGATTGGTATGAATAATAAAGACTCTGCACTGGAATTTAAAAACTGACATGAAAAGGCAATCATTAACTACTCTACAATGCCGCCTTTGATATAGTCCAATCGTGTATAAAAACAAGCACCTCTTGGGTGTTGGACTCCACAAGGAGCTACTGTTTCTACAGATGTAAATGCTCTAAATTGGTTTTACTTTAAAGAGCATAAAGGATAATTTCTCTTACAGCTGGAAGCAACATCTGACATTGCAAAATGCTGAAAATATGTTGAAGAGAGATTGGAGATTTCAGACACATTCAAGGTGAACTGAATAACATCTGTGGCTGAATATCTGTCTGTGAAATAAGCAGATAGAGAAATGAGGAAAGGTATGAAACCATCTTGCTCTGAACAATGATTTCCTTCATTCATGAGCAAGACACACACACACACACACACACACACACACACGCACACAGAGTTGCTTTGGGCTTTGTTTCTTTGTAGACACAGTTATTAATTCTTGTCAAGTCACCGAAGGTAGACTTGTAATATAACCAGAAGACACTTACAGCAGATTAATATTTTCAAACAGTTGAATGGAGCTAGAGGTACATGATTTCTGTTTAACTCTAAACAAGAGGTGAGCTGCTAAAGCTCCATCAGTCTCTTTGAAGAAAAAAAAAATCACTGTTTTAATGCTTGTAAAAAGTACCAGACTGACAAGTGTGTAGAATAAAGCCACTTTAGCCCCAGAATAGGTAAGGCATACATTGTGGAAGCTTCTCTGGGGATGTACTTCAGACTGGGTCACACAGGACAAGAAAACAGCTAAGATTTTCTGCCCATGAAATCACAGGAAGTCAAGAATTAAGGCAGGTCAGATGGGTAAGTCTCTGCCAATATGCTGCTTGTGACAGGTACATGAACAAGCCCGATGAGAAAGTTTGCAGTGCGCTGTGTTTAAAAAAAAGGAAGTTCTTGCAGCTTTACCCAGGGGCAGAACAGCAGGTTATACATATCAAAGGATAATCATTAGCAGTCCTGTGCTCCAACTCAAATAAAGTTAATAGGACCACACAGGTACGTGCTAAGCTATGAAAACACTACAGTACATGCATAGCATTAAGCATATGCTGACACCCTATTGGATTTAGTGTGATTTAAGTACGTATTAACACTTTTCCTGAATAAGGACCATTATGCTGTTCTGCTTAGCTGGAGTAACAGAGGCAGATTCAGGTCCAAACCCGCCAGCTTGTTAAAGAAACGAATAGTCGATAGATGCTTGCATCTGGCCCAAACTGTCCTTTAAAATAACGTTTGCAATATGCCCCTCCCCTTGGGTCTTACTTTCCATATACAGGTTGGTGCTGTATTCCCAAATGTCCTTAATGCAGACAGACTTTAAATGATTCCCATAGCAAAGGAACATAAAGGGAAAACAGGCCGGTGACAGTATGATAAACCCGTTTTTAACAGTTTGTCAACAAGAAATACTGTGCCTAGCACAAAGAATGATACCAATCTCTTTCAGCATCTGTCACGGCAGCAGCACCAAAGTCTGGGTAGAAAAAACAAGAAATTTAGAGAAACGATGGGTTTCCTTCACCTACATCACTGTATGCAAAGCGAACTGCAGAAAAGTCAGTTCTCTTCCTTTCGCTTCCTTCTATGGCAGGGTGGAGTCCTGAAACCGCACACAACCATAATAAAATATTATTCATAAAGTGTATGGTGGGGCATATGGTCAGACAACTAACTGTAAAGCTCTAAAGGGAGGGAAGGGACTTACTGTTCCCAAGCACTGTAACTGTTTCATGGGCCTGCTTCTATCCTGTCGTAAGCATGGCTAAGTCATAATCATTTATCTGTTTCCTTCAGTGGAAGCTGCCCTTGATTCTCTTCTACTTAATACAGGGTAAAAGAGGAGGGAAGGAATAGATACAGAGCACTCATCTGACCCGTGGTAAGCGCCCCCTCTTCCCCTTTAAAGCAATTTATCTCCTCTCCACTCCAAATAGAAATTGGAGTCTGAGGATTTGGTATGGGGGGTAGTTTATGGAGCAGCGTAACTTGGTTCCTATAATTTAGAGTTTCTTTTGTTCTTGGTAATGATTTCAAACTGAGGAGCCAAGCCTTGTCTTGTGAAATTCAATCAGAGCTCTTTTTTTCATCGACTTCAATAAAATACAAGGATTTGATTGAATCTCTTGGAATTCTGGTCTTAGCTGATCCAGGTGTTTTTGCACCTTTCATTTTGGTTATCTGCTGAGATAAAGATGGCCATACAGTTGTATCTGCATGGGTAAAAATCCCAGCTCATGGGTACGCATTTACAAAGTATTCTTTTAATACTGCTATTTAACATGTATGTTGTGGGACATCAACAAGACAGGGACTCTTTTTGCTAGACACTGTACAAATCTGCTGGCCACCTCCTGATCAGGAATGCACAGTGCACAAGTCCAAGGCAGTTCAACATATCAACTTTTATGTGAGAAAACAGTGGCAAGAAGTGACTCCCTGCATATAAACTGGTCATGTGTTACCTGGAGACAAGGTTTTGAGAAGATGGAATTCTTATATTCCCCCCTCTATCCTTTTTTTAGGCAGGTGTACAAATTCAACATAGCTTCATAGAAGGCTTTAAGCATAGGACAGAGAAAGCTGGGAGTTTCATTGCCTGGGAGCACTCAGTGTTACTGTTTCCTTGATCAAAATGAAATATAAGTCAAATCAGCTGCTGCCACCCACTAGCAGCGTCTAACTGAAGAGCCCTAGGAGCATTAGTCTCCTTGGTGATTACTAACAGGGTCTGAAATGTCAAAACTAAGTCAAAACAAAAATTTGTCAGAGATATTAGTTATAAATAACTTTCTATAGGAGCACTGAGTCTTTGCTAAACTTTCAAAAGGCAGTTACTATTATGTTGCAAGATCTCTGCTTCCCAAGGGTTAGCCAGGGCTGGGTCTGTAGGTACAATACTTAATCTTTAAGTGATGTAGCTAGCATTTTAATAAGTAAGTAGACTGCTTTTTTTCTGGTAAGAGCTTTGCTGAAAGATTCATCTTCCTGAGGGCAAATAATTAATCGAGCCACTTCCTGCTATTTATCAGCGAAAATGACCTTGAAACTGGCTAAAGTTCACAAGGTGCATCATGAGTTCCCATTAGAAAGTAACAGATCTATTTCTCTCAATAATACCCAAGTGAAATTGGCTTTTGTATGGATGAACAAATACCCTCCATTGTCCTGTTCCCTGAATTAGAAGGACATGAATTGACCCAAGCTAAGTCAAGGACTGATCTGATGACAGGAAAAGGAGAGCCTTCAAAGCTTGGTAGAATGACATTAACTCCAAATAGGAGGCAGACATTTCACTTCACTTTAAAAGCCCAGAGGAAAATGTGAGCGCAAAAGAACGAGTGGTGGAAGGACAAAGCAAATAGATTCAGAAGTCTGCAGACAGTCACGGCATGTGTCGTTTCTTCAGAGCAACCAAAGTTATCTATGGGCCAAGTACAGAAGGAGCCATCCCTCTGAGGTCCAAGGATGGAACAATAATCTTTAAAAATCAGCTCCACCCTCAACACACAGTGGAAGGAGCACTTTCCTGAACCAGATGAACTCACCCTGCAATGAAGTTCACTACTCCTAGGGTGAAGTGAAGGGGAAGAGACTTTACTCTGTGATACCCTGGAACTGGGAGCTCTACTCCTGTTACTGGGAAGAGATTGAGAGATAGCCGAGTAGCATGGTCCTGTTAAGAGGAGGACCTCCAGGGTCAGGAAGAGTGAAAAGCCAGAAAAGGAGTGTGAGCAGCAGCTGCAGACCCACCCTTAGAGATAGCATGTATTTCATGAGATTCCTGTGCTAACCTGAGTGGCCAAGGTCAGGGGACTAGCAAAGGGGAAGGGCCAGCGGGTATAAAGACTTGTCCCAGATAGAGAGCAGGAGGTGGAGGAAGGAGAAGCTTGATGTGGCAGCCCAGACTCGCCAATCTTGTGAAGAGAGGAGACACCCCAAGGACAAGAAATCAAGTACCATGAATGGGCAGTGAGAAGACCTGAGCATGTAAAGATTTCATTTGCTGTATACAGACAGGTTTTTTTCTCTTACACCCGGGTGGGTTAAGCTTTGTGTTCCCATGACCCAGTGGGGAAAGAAAGTTTTGTTAACCTTTTGGTGAAAACATCTGGTGAACCTGCTGGCTATATGGGGAGATAAGGAGGCCACATAGTAGTGCGCCAAGGACCTGTACTCTGCATTGCTTAACCCAAGAAGGGTTGTGAGCCCAAAGGAGTGTAAAGCATATGTGCTCTGATGCCTTGGTTCTGGCAGACCAACAGAAGCAGGGAGCCTGCAGGTATAGCCCAGGGGATTAATCCAGCAGCTGGTTGAGCCAAGGCCCCAGGGTGACTAAAACAGAACCGTTGGCCAGAAATGATGGGGAATGTAGAAGTGGATGGCAATTTGAACAGCAGCAGTCATGAGATGATTGAGGTCAGGATCCTGAGGAAAGGAAGAAAGGAGAGGAGCAGAGCGGAGTAAGGACCCTGGACTTCAGAAAAGCAGACTTCAGCTCACTTGGGAAACTCATAGGTAGGATCCCCTGGGAGGCCAGTCTGAGGGGTAAGGGAGTCCAGGAGAGCTGGTTGTATTTTAAAGAAACCTTACTGAGAGTCCAAGAATGAACCATCCTAATGAGTAGAAAGACTAGCAAGTATGACAGAAGACCAGGTTGGTTCAGCATGGGACTCTTCCGTGAGCTACGACACAAAAAGGAAGTTTTTTGTGGAAGAAGCGGAAACTTGGAGAAATGACTTGGAAGAAATATAAGAGCGTTGCTTGGGCATGCAGGGGTAAATAAAGAAGGCCAAAGCACAGTTGCAGCTAGCAACTCATTTTGAACAGTAACAAGAAAGGTTTCTATAAGTACATCAGCAACAAGAGGAAGATCAAGGATAGAGTGGGTCCCTTGCTGAATCGGGAGGCAACCTCATGACAGAAGATGCAGAAAATGCTGAAGTACTCAATGCCTTTTTCACCTCAGTCTTCACAGGCAAGGTCAGCTCCCAGACTGCTGCACCTGGCAGCACAGTCTGGGGAGGAAGTGAGCAGCCCTCAGTGGTAAAAGAACAGGTTTGGGACTATTTAGAAAAGCTGGACGTGTCCATGGGGCTGGATGCGATGCAGCACGTTGGAGCAGACTCAGCTATGTCTGCTGGAGCATGCTAATTAGCTCCAACAGCCTTGGTATCTTGTGTACTCAGCATTCCCGTGCTTCAAATAGTGCTGAGGGTGCTTTAACTAAAACTTGTTGAATGAGCTTCAACAAGTTTTAGTTGTTGCAAAAAAGCTAATGGCACTTTATCGTGCATGAGCAGATGCATGACGAACAGAACCAAGGAGGTGATACTTCCCCTCTATCGGGCGCTGGTCAGACCGCAGTTGGAGTACTGCGTGCAATTTTGGGCGCCGTACTTCAAGAGGGATGCGGATAACCTGGAGAGGGTCCAGAGAAGGGCCACTCGTATGGTTAAGGGCTTGCAGGCCAAGCCCTATGAGGAGAGACTAGGGCACCTGGACCTCTTCAGCCTCCGCAAGAGAAGGTTGAGAGGCGACCTTGTGGCTGCCTATAAGTTCATTATGGGGGCACAGAAGGGAATTGGTGAGGCTCTACTCACCAAGGCGCCCCTGGGGGTTATAAGAAATAATGGCCATAAGCTAGCAGACAGCAGATTTAGACTGGACATTAGGAAGAACTTCTTCACAGTTAGAGTGGCCAAGGTCTGGAATGAGCTCCCAAGGGAGGTAGTGCTCTCCCCTACCCTGGGGGTCTTCAAGAGGAGGGTAGATAGGCATCTAGCTGGGGTCATCTAAACCCAGCCCTCTTTCCTGCCTATGCAGGGGGTCGGACTCGATGATCTATTGAGGTCCCTTCCGACCCTAACATCTATGAATCTATGAGCTTTAGTTAAAGTGCCCATGCCACCATTTTGAAGTGTGAGATGCTGAATACACAACATCGTGTGGGTGCTTTAATTAGAGCAGCTGTTCCAAGATTGAGCAGCTCTCCCCTCTAATTAAAGTAACCCCCCCACCTTCAGAACACATATAAAGATGCCCATAGTGCCCATCTTTAAGAAATGGAAGAAGGAGGATCAGACAAACTACAGACCAGTCAGCCTTACCTCAGTCCCTGGAAAAACCATGGAGCAGATCCTCAAGGAATCCATTTCTAAGCACTTGGAGGTGAAGAAGGTGATTAGGAGCAGTCAGCATGGGTTCACCAAGGGCAAGTCTTGCCTGACCAACCTGATTGGCTTCTGTGACGAGATGACTGGCTCTGTGGATTCAGGGAGAGCAGTGGATATGATATACCTTGACTTTAGCAAGGCTTTTGATACTGTCTCCCGCAACATTCTTGTAAACAAGCTAAGGAAGTATAGGTTGGGTGAACAGACTTTAAGGTGGATAGAAAGCTGGCTGGGTCACCAGGCTCAAAGGGCAGTCATCAATGGCTCAATGTCTAGCTGGCAGCTGGTGTTAAGTGGAGTGCCTCAGGGGTTGGTTCTGGGGCTGGGTTTGTTCAATGTCTTTATCAGTGACCAGGAAGATGGGATGGAGTGCACCCTCAGCAAGTTTGCAGATGATACCAAGATGGGGGGGGTTGTAGTAGATGCACTCAAGAATAGAGCTAGGATTCAGAGAGACCTTGACAAATTGGAGGATTGGGCCAAAAGAAATTTCATGAGGTTCAATAAGGAAAAAAGCAAAGTCCCGCACTTAGGCTGGAACATTCCCATGCACTGGTACAGGCTGGGGACTGACTGGCTAAACAGGTACCCATTTAGTCTAGAGAAGAAAAGACTGAGGGGGAATTGAATAGCAGCCATCAACTACCTGAATGGCGGTTACAAAGAGGATGGAGCTGGACTGCTCTCAGTGGTGGCAAATGACAGAACAAGGAGCAAGGGTCTCAAGTTGCAGCAAGGGAAGTTTAGGTTAGATACTGGGAAAAACTCTCACAAAGAGGGTAGTAAAGCACTGGACCAGGTTACCCAGAGAGGTGGTGGAATCTCCACCCTTGGAGGTTTTTAAGACCCATCGAGATAAAGCCTTGGCCTGGGTGATCTAGCTGGGGCTGGTCCTGCTTTGAGCAGGAGGCTGGACTAGATGTGACCTCCTGAGGTCCCTTCCCACCCTCATTTTCTATGATTCTAAAGATGAGCAGATGAAGAATTATACACTAAGTGGTTGCTCATTTGGAAAAGAAATTCTGTACTACGTATTTTGAAAACCTGAGGGAAAAATTTTGGTATTTTTGGAAGTCTGGTACTATACAAATAAAGATATTTATGAAGAAAGTCCAACAGATTTCAGTGTAGAATTGCCAGTTTATTGCTGTACTCGCAGAACTTGCGAAAGCAATGAATACGCTCAGAGAACATTTAAATGACTACATTTTCAAAGTGCCGATGACACAAGACCAAACCATCTGTTGTGCTGGCAGCTGTCACAGATAATACAATATTGCAGAATATATAAATCCAGATGACAAGCTGTAAAAAAAAATACACATTGAGGGTTGATCAGATAATACTATGTTTAGTCATATGCTCAATGTGTACTGTACAATAGGCACAGACTTACCTGGGAATTGTATAAATACCACCTTGAGGTATCTATTTGAAATATAAGGCCATCCTTACCCAACCACCCAGAACGTAGAGGATTACTCACACTTCACAGCTACTCAGGCCCACACTTCTCAATCTAGGGACTGTTATGGTGTGAAATCAGGACTGGACTTCACTTGTTTTTCCTTCATAGCTGACCTACAGTGAGGACATGTGTTTCTAACAGAAGTGGATGACATCTCTAAAGCTTCTCACAGCCAGTGAAACTAAGGAATATCAGGGTTAAGTGACTTGGCCAAGGCCACATGATGACCCTGTAGCATAGCATATCTCCTAATCCTTGTATCTGAACCAAAACTATTCCTTTTTCCTGCTTGTTTAAAACATGTTGGCATCATCCACTTAGGCAGTATCATTTTTCACATGTTCCTTCTGTGGCATGACAGATAAGAGACAGACTGACCCATCATATAACGGATTGTTCTAGTTTTCAAATGACTACTTCGTCCGTTCATGCATGAGCTATTTATTTA